TCAGACTGTGGCAACACTGCTAGGTGTGTTCGAATGTTGGCGCGGAATGATGTTTTAAATTTAGTCTGTTAGACATCAGTAAACATCATCTCATCCTTTTCTAAGGAGAAACAATCGCATTCTTTTCCGAATGACTCATTCTCACAAACCGTAAGAAGGATGTGAAAGATTTCCCTGAAAAGTAGACTTGGGTGGCATATTTTGATTAATCATATGACTGAGATTATAGGATACAGCGCACGCACGTAAGAAAGGACACACGTACACAACTTACTCAAACCACACATGCGCCACCCATACGAACAACACAACAACATATACATCTTACGCCACACTCATCACATTTCAGACAGCATATTTATCACTAGCGAGAGGATTTTTGTGCCCTAAAAAATCTTGAAATATGCTTTTAAAAATGCTTTTATGACCTAAATATTTTCAAATATGCACTTTAACATGCAATTAAAATTAACCATATTTCTTTTTCTGCATTAACCTTTCTCGATAAAATTCAGCAGAAGTGTGTTTGAAATGAAAAGATATATTTTGTGCCAGCAGAATATAATCTACTTTACTTTGCGGGAGAAATAATTAAAGTAATATTCACCTAAGTGAAGTACATTGTATGTCTTGTATTTCTTCTGCCTAGTTTTGAAAAAAATATATTAAGAAATTTTCTATATTTACACAAGTATTTTATCACCTATAAAGAAGAAGAAAAAAACGCAAACTGCGACAAGCTCTTTGTAATCAATTAACGCTCACAAATAAGTAAATAAATAGATCGTATAAAAAATTTGAAACGTTTTAGAGATGTCTCTATTTTCACGAAATGGAAAATATGCACCTATAGCTTCACGAATATGCACCAACAGATATAATTGGCCAAATTTGCACAAATGTGCACTAAATTATTAATTTACTTAGCATCCAAGTACAACCAAATGTCAAGAAATTTCGCTTAGCTATACCCTGAAGCAACGGACATAAATATGCAAAATTATAGAAATCCGCTCCCTACTTATCACATACCGCACTAATCATGTGCCAATCTCGCTCATCACGTGCCATACACACCACACTCATCACGTGCCATACACACTACAGTCTGAGCACGCATACCACACCTCCATGCATGCCATGTGCTGGCAAGTTTTGTTATAAATTGCGATCAGTTTTGTTGGCATTTGATATCGAAATTCAAACGGGTCTTCGTAATAGTGGTTTCGGAATTATTCACTAATAAAGTGGTCTGTAGGAATTCAAAGTGAGGTTTTACGTGCTTAGTTTTTTGTCTTGATTTTATTCAACAAAGAACTCAATAAAACACAAACAATTTATTGTTTGTGTTTTATCTTTCACAATATGTAGTTTTTTTAAGCACATACGTAACATAATTTATTTGAGGTTAAATTTGTAAATAACTATGAAATCCATAAAAGTAATTTTTACGATGCTACGAATATGTTTCGAAGTATTAGATTTCTACTATAATAATTATTCTTTTTGACTCGCGTCAAACTCTAGTACATTCCAATACCCGTATTGCACTGCATACACAGTAAACATACCGCACTACAGACTTCTCGCTTATATAACGGAACAGTGAAGAGTGCCAGAGACAAATATTCAATATATAAAGGTGAATTTTAAAAATATTTTAGAAACTGACATTTCCTCGCATGGACATATAAAATGACATCGGTTTTACATTATGGATTTAGGGCAGAAGAGACAATACTCATTGTTTCATGATTCAAAAAAACAAAACAGATTATTTCTGGTTTTTAAACAAGTTAACTGCTTAGCTCCGTATATTTAAAAGCTACTCATAATAATTTATCATTTGTCGTACTTGGTATCAATTTATTTAATTTATTATAATGAGACTGCATGTAGACGTGTTTCCATTTCGTTGTTTACATTGAGATCATTTATTAATTCATTTCGTTAGAAAAACAAGTTCACGTTGGATGATGAAACCAAAACGATAACGACAATCCAGTAATTCAGTGAGGATAGGTTGTATCGGATTTCCACATAAAAGCTTTTTCATATATGAATACTGGTTTAAATGAAATAGTGAAAAGAACTGGACATCGCTACGTAGAATATATGTGTCTGTTCTCTACGCATACATGCATTTATTGGGAAATATGCTCATATTTTATATTACAATGTTATCATAACCCTTTTCACATAACAGTAGGATATGTTTGCAAACATTTGGCCTCTTCATTGAATACTTTCATCGACAAAATTTTCTTGGATCACTACGTGTGCAGAATCAATTTGATGTGGTACACGTCAAGCAATAATATTTACATTTAATGCATAAAAACGAAATAGAAATGATTAATGGAATGGAATGGAACGAAGACATAAAGTTTGCAAATGCATGTAACCTGATATACATAGAATGTTGAAACTAGTCAAGTGCATGTGAAACTGTATCATGAATTAGATCAGGTGTTGAATGACTGAAATCGGTGTAAATTGTTTGAGATATTTGACTCCGCGTTCGGTGTCGAGTGAAGTTGTAATGCTACTTGGAATATTAAGTTTTTAATTTTGAGTGTGTCATAAAAATTTGCGATCAAAATTGAAACCATGTCTACTGTCTAAACGATGCTGTCGTACAAAAATCGAATACTAACACTCAAGTCACAACGTAAGATTTTTTGAATATGATGGTCATAAAATAAGATTATTCATAAGGCGATAGGTCATTCAAGTGACAGATGTGTATACTGTTTTTGAGAAAATATAATGCAATTCCTCTGAACGATCACATCTATTATCTGACTTTTGAAGAATGTCCATAACACAAAAGTATTTCAAATCCCTTATTTCCTCTAATGTCACTTGGAGTATAACCTCTAGTCAGCGAACAAAAGTTTGTGACTGAAACGTAAAATATCGGCGACATGTCAATATTTTGGGATATGGTATGAGGGAATTTCCTTGAATTTGTCAGTTAGTCTCTAAGGATCTCACTGTCTTTTTAACAAAAAAATATGTTCGCTCTTTATCAAATGGTCGCATTATTCATTATTTTCTTAGCGTTGACATTTCTCTTTTCTGATAGATATTCCTGATTCCAATATCCCTCTTAGAATTCGCGTTTGATTTTCCCTCTCATTACACTTCCTTCAAGGAAAATGCCTATGTGTTACACAGTCCGTCACTGACTCACGATCGACAGCCCCTAGCCACTGACTCACGATCCTTCGGCATTATCTTACTGATAAGGAAGTTCGATGGCAAGAGAAGTTTCAATAGCAGTTAGACTCGTCCAAAGAGGGCTTGGGAAGGGGACATGTTTAAATGCAGATGTAGTATACTTGCAAGCTAGAATAGCTAGTATAAACGTATTAAGTGGATAATTTAATTCTTTTCGAAAATTGTTGTCAACTGAAAGATGTTCGAACTGTCTTCTCCCGTTTCTCAAGTTCCCTGGTTCCAGAAGCGGTTTTATCTAAACAGCAAAAGAAACAAATGCCTTCTTACCAATTGCATTGGAACAAAATTGAAAACTTTTTGATATAAGACATTTGCTTATAGTTCTCAACAACATATTTTACACGAGTATCTTAAATGTAATAAACGCAATGAAAGTATCTCCTCAAAAATAGTCTCTGATAGCAATGACGAGCGAAACAAATACTAGCAACGTATGTTGAAACAACATCAAACGAGTCATTGACTTTTCTGCAGAGAGAAGTGGTACATTGGATTCAATGAAAACTAATGAATAAATTGGTCGGCTTAAATTCAGGAAAGACCGTCTGAGCCACTACCAGCAACTCAGTCTCTGTGGATACACTTCAATCTTATTGTGTAACTTCAAGAGTCACATTCCGGTACACAATTGGCAGTATTATCGCCTGCGATGAGTCAAAGCAAGAGAGCAATTCGCTTGACTTACAACAGACTCAATTCTTGTAAACCACGTGTCTCGAATATCTTGTATCACAATGCACGCGCATGTATTGTGCTAGATAAACATTCGTATAAATACATAAAGACACACATTTTATTTCGTGAAACAAATATAGTAAACCAGCAAACATATATCGTGGCAGTGTGTGGTGTAAGTAAACTTTATGTAACAGACATGAATTTCTAGCTAAATGTGGAATATTTAGAATTGTAAGCGAAGTACATCATCACGATGTAATAACACACATTGACATATGCACACACATGAACACATACACATTTTTCTTAAAACGTTTAAAAAATAAAATGAGAATAGGGAACAAGGATGCCCGCAATTGATGCGTTTAAATTGAAATATAGTTGCAGGATCAAGCCCATAAACTTCAATTATATCAAATCATCCTCGTGTAAACAAGGACAGGCGGCGGGAACAGTTTCGGGCGCGGAATGAAAGGAGATAGTTGAGAGGAATGAAGGAAATGGAAGGAGGAACAGAGGTGGAAGATGGAGAGATAAACGAGGATTCGAGACGTACAGACGTAGAGGTGTTGAAGGTGAAGGGGAGACAGGGAGAGGGGCTGAGGTGATGCACAAAGGAGGATGAGAAGTAGAAAGGTGGACGAGAAGTGGAGTTGTGGAATAGGAAGGTAGGCGACGGGTAGAAAGATGGATGAGAGGAAGAGAGGTGGAGTAAGAAGGTGGACGGCGGAACAGGTGGGCACGGAATAGAGCGGTGGAGGAGTGAAAAGGCAAACAACAGCACAAAATAATCCGGCGAGTGGAAACGCGCGTAAAGCACCCAACACTCGCGACGGGCGCGGGCGCGGACGCGGGCCGGCAGCCACCGGGCGCTTCAGCAGCCTCTATTTCGAGCCTCGGCGCCCGCACTAGGTCGATCGCTGGGGCGGGCGACCGTCCTTCCGGCCCCCGCGGCGCCCGTTGGCGCGGGTGGGGTGGCGGGCGTTGGCGCGGCTCCAGCGCCGCCCCTGGAGGGCCGCTGCCCCTTCCGCCCCCGCAGCGCGGTCGCGCTCGTAAGGCGCCGGCGCCGAGGTACTCACCCGTGGTGCGTGTTGAAGGCCAGGTAGGCGTACGGCTTGACGGCCGGCATGACGGCTCTGGGCATGGCGGCGGCGGGCGACGGCGGGGGCGGCGAAGGCGGCGGGCGACGCAGGGGTCGTCGACGGTTTCGGAGACGGTGCGGCGCGAACATCTGCCCGGGCGCGTGCTGCCGCCGACGCCCGTCAGAGTGTGCCCTGCCGCATATTTCGGGATGCGGCGGACGAGAAGCGGCGCGCGGGCGGCGGCGCGGCGCGGAGCGGGCGCGAGTGGAGGGCTGCGTAGCCAAGTCGGCCGCGGCACCGGCCGGCCGCGCCGCGCGGCAACCGGCCAGCGGGCGCGGAGCGGTCATCTCCCATTTCGCACTGGCGGTGCTGTCGGTCGCGTCGCCTCGTCACTCCACTCGCCGCGGTACGGCGCCATGCGCACGCCATCGGTCCTCACCATCTCAACGCCGGGTCGGTCACGCAATGCAGCGGCTTGTGTCCCCGGCTCAGCACGCCGATACTGCCGCACGCCGCGTCGCCCGATCGTTCTCGATTCGCGTTCGCCTCCATCCACTCAACTGCCACTACTGCTACCACGCAGCCGCCGCTACTGTCGCCATGCTACCGCCTTCATCGCCCCCACGGTCTCACACCACCTCCATTGCCGCCGTCCGTCGCCTCCCTCCTCCACCGCCGCTACCGCCGCCACGCCGACCGCTGCGTCGTCCCCATAGTCTCACATCGCCACCATCACCGCTGCTGTCACCTTGCCGCCGCCTCCGTCGTGTACGTCGCTGATGACACCATGCCGCTTTCACTGCTTCCTTCTCCGTCGTTCCCTCCGTCCCCGCGACTGGTATGGGAAAACTCCGCTGGCCGACGGTATGTCGGCGCCGGATCTCGCCATCCAGCCGGGGAACCTCTCGTGCAAAAACATGCACTGCACTTACAGGAATAATGACCAGAGTAGTTGACGTGCTCGGAATCGCTAACAATCAATCAATCCACTGAATCCATCGGCTCCACTGCCGCTACTGTCTCCATCGTCGCCGTTGCCGCTACTGTACCTATGCGGTCGCGTCCATCGTGCCCACCGCTGCTATTGTCACCATGCTGTCGCTTCCAAGGCCCTACAGCCGCTCCTGTTAGGTGGTCGCCTCCATCGTGTTCACCGCTGTTGTCACCATGCCGCTTCATCTAGTGCCGTGTCCGTCGTTCCCTTTATCCCCACCGGCACCTCATCGCCAGCGCGCTGCCTTCACCACCTCCGACTGCGTCTCGGCCCACTCCACTTCGTCGCAATCTCCACCATCTACTCTCGTAAAGTTGTCTCCACCTCCGCCTGTGCCTCCTCCTCCTCCACCTCAGTCTCCTCCGCCTGTACGTCCGCCCCAGGCTCTGCCTCCATCTTTCGCACCAACTGCAGAAACACCGTCACCCTGACCACGTTCACCTCTTCACCTTCCAACTCTACCGTCCCCCGCATCGTATACCACGGTCTCCCCCGCCATCACCACCACTTCCATTGCCGCCTTTGTCGCCGTCGCTGTCGCCGCCGCACCGCACCGCGGGGGACTGCCGCCCGACCCCTGCACGTGCACTCCAGACGCCGTCGCCTCTGCCGCCCCCGCCCCCGCCGCCACGGGGCACGCGAGCAGGGACCACTCGACGCAGAGAGCGACTCGGATGAAGTTGACGACGTCTGGCCAGAAAGAGGGCGAGGGTAAACAGGCCGAGGTCAACGCCGGAGGCAGATACGGAAGAGGGGAGAGATGGGCAAAGGGGAGAAGAGAGAAGAGGAGTGACGGAGGGGAAGAGAGCGAGAGAGACAGAGGAGAGGAGAGAGGGTTAGACGAAGAAGGGAGAGATAGACGGAGGAAAGAGAGGGAGAGACGGAGAAGAAGAGAAAAAGAGAGGCGGAAGAGAAGAGAGTTAGAAGGAGTTAGACGGAGGAGAAGAGAGAGGGTTAGACGGAGGAGAAGAGAGAGGGTTAGACGGAGGAGAAGAGAGAAGGATAGACGGAGAAGAGAGAGGGTTAGACGGAGGAGAAGAGAGAGAGATGAAGGAGAAGAGAGAGGGGGAGACGGAGGAGAAGAGAGAAGGATAGACGGAGAAGAGAGAAGGAGAGGCGGAGGAGAAGAGAGAGGGATAGACGGAGAAGAGAGAAGGAGAGGCGGAGGAGAAGAGAGATTTTCTACAATAAAAAACGCCGTTAATACAGCAAACGAATAAAAATTGGGGGCCCCTCCCATTCATTTAAAGTAATAGTTCTCCCAATTTATTTGAGTGGAGAGCTCAAAGTTTATTTCTATACGAAAAATTCCTTAGTTTTTAAATGTAAAAAGATTTACAAATTTCGAGATTATATAACTTTGAATGAAAATATCGGTCTAACCATATTACTAGTTTACTTCTTCTAATGAAGAAAAAGCTGCAAAGAAAAATAATGTAACCATTTTCCAGAATTTTTTGAACTCCAGAAGGCTTCAATAATATAGTTCCAAAATTATATACTTCATATCTCGAAAAGAACTACATTCTTATTCATATGCGTATTTACCAAAAGCTTATAATTGACCAGTTATGCACGCACATTACAGACGAACCACACTCACACAATTACAGACAACAAGACAACTATAGCACACACCACCATTTCAAGTACAGAATTCTTCATCCCTCGCGCTTGACAATCTTAAAAACCATCTTGGATAAACCTCTAAACACTTCAACTCGACCGCATGTGCAAATTTCATTCTCAAAAAGAACTCTAAATATGTTTTTACGACCGCATAACAGTCCGCTTGACTTCGCATTCTTAATCATTTTTCATGTGCTCTCACCTCTTTAAGGTCGCAGCACTCACACGCACTGCAGTAATAACCGAACAAGGTTTAATCAGTGTGCTTGTAAAACCTCGTCCGAGATCATAGCGGGAAAGACAGCGGTCAATGTCTGCTTTTTGTCATACTCCTAAAAAATAGCAAAATAATACAATCAATTAATAATTAACTTATGGTTAATGTGATATTAAATATAACTTAATCATGAGACATTAACTCCGAATTCAATCATTTTTCACACAACCGCTGTTCATTAACTTATTCACATCATCTTTTAGCTTAAAAAGAAACATTCTGTCAATATTGTATTAACTATTTACGTAGGACAATTTATATTATCTGTTTTGATTTCTTATTCCCACTGGTCAGTATTATGAGTTTAACTGCCAATCACCTAAAAAATTTTATCCCACCGAACTCGTTTGATAAAATGTATCCGAATTTAGTTAATATGATAGACGGGCCAAATCGATATTCCTTTTATGACATACGGAAACAATTCAATCCATTTTAATGATCGAGTTTATCTTGACAAGCGCTGCTTGAGTCCAAGGGCGCTTTACGTCCCGTAGCTTCAAACGCCCTTCTCAGACACTTTGAGTCAGCCAGTGCATGGCGTGAAGAATGAAAATAGTTGTAAAATTAGTCTAGTAGAAACAATATACTCTGGGTGCGATAAGGTGAAAAGTGAGAATTGATGTACGCGAAATGCGTCTTGAAGATATTAATAGATTAAAAATAAAACTAAAATGTCGACTTTTAAAGGAATACATTTTGTTTTTTACTGATGTATTTATAGCTTGTTCATAGCCATGGAGACTATCTTGATATCATCGCATAAACTTAGTGGATAGAGAGGACATGTTACGAGCGAAATATTTATTAGCGTCATGTGTCTCCTTTGGAGGGAATGATGAGGCATAATATGAAAAGATAACATCATTTACAGGCTAGTTATTATAAATAATGATAAGTATAATTAAAATTAGGTAAAAAAAATGAAATTTTGTATGGCGCCACGCGTAATTGTTCACTGAAATTCAAGCCGACAAAAAAATAATCGGACAGTTTCACCGTTAGAGCCCTTATCAAGCGCTTTAGTGCATAAATAAGTATATATAACAAGGTATAGGTGAAAAACACTGTTTGAAAATAGGTTAGTTAAGCACCGGTCTGCACGTTAGTGGTAGGATCTAATTAGGTAGACTATAAACTAATTTAGAACTCCCTCCTCTTGCCGTAGAAGCAAATTAGGGCTGCAGCGTATGCAGATTGTTCTGACCCAAACAATTCAATTAATTACCGCCTCGCTAAGATTCTGTGGAGAGAAATTTTAAAAAAATCCTTTTGGATCTTCTCAGTCCGAAAAGAAACGTTCTCCCCATACAACGCGGGGCCAAGATGCAACATGTGTGCAAGGACACTTTACTCCTTCCCAGACACCGCCCCCACGGCTGCGATGCCCTTGAGTTCTCGCCTGTCTCTTGTCTCTTCTCCCATTCATTGACCTCCATCTTTACATCCCGTCCACCCTCGTCCTCCTTTGGCGTCTTTCCAACGCTGTTGCCTGCCCGCCTCTAGCACGTTGCTCACTTCCCTTTTTTCCTCTCGCATCACGCTCCTCTATCGTCCTCTCTACGCCCACTTCTCTTCCTTCTCTACCCTTCTGTCCAAACTCTTGACCACTGTTGAATCCCCACATTCTCTTAATCCATCTCTTCCTTTTCTCCACTCTTCTCTACCACCACACTTTCGCTCAAAACCTTAATCACTTCATTCCCTATTCTCGTCTGGTCTCTCGATCGTCTCTTTAGTTGCGACCAACTCTTTTCAACAACATCGTCTCTTCGTCTTGTGACTAAACTCAAGACTCATCTCCCTTTCTCGGCCCCTCTCCCTTCCTCTGTCTCTCTCCCGCCCTCCTCGTCATTCCGTTGCACCTTCTCTCCCTTCCGCCTCTCCCTCGCTCTTCTCCTCCGCCGCTTCCCTCTCCTCTTCTCCTCCGCCTCTCCTCTCTCTTCTCCGCTATCCTTCTCTCTTCTCTCGCCCCTCCCTCTCTCTTCTCCTCCGCCTCTCCTTCTCTCTCTCGTCTTATCCTTCTCCTCTCCTCCGCCTCTCCACCTCTTCTCCTCCGCCTCTCCTTCTCTTTCTCCGTCTATCCTTCTCTCTTCTCCTCGCCTCTCCCTCTTCTCTTTCCCTCCGCCTCTCCTTCTCTCCTTCTCCTCTTACCTTCTCTCTCTCCTCCGCCTCCCCTCTCTCTTCTCCCCGCCTCTCCC